GGGCGTCGTTATTGTCCGATTTTAAAAATTTTCGGCCATTTGGTATGCTGTGCGAAGGCCAACAACCCTGCCAAGTTTGGAAGAAATTGGTGCAGCGGTTACCAAGATATATACATGTNATTAAGGGAAACCTACATACCGTTGAGATATCTCAATTTTTGCTCGAGTTATCGTGTACACGGACGGACGGACAGTCGGAAAGACGGACGGACAGACAGACATGGCTTAGTCGATTTATTTTTTCATCCTGATCATTTATGTATACATTTGTCTATATCTGTCTCGATTCGTTTTGGCTGTTACAAACAACCGTTATGTGAACTTGCAAGTTCAGCTGTCATTTTTGCTCTCTCAATTTCCCCTCTTTTGCTAGTTTCTTGCAAGTTTTTGCGTACGAAAACGACATCCAGTAAAAAACCAGTAAAATTAGTACTAGATTTACTGGATAGTGCGTACGCGAACAGGGCTAATGTTGAGTTCCCTGAGACTGAATGCTGGTTTAATTCCATCACTGAGACCGGACTCACACATTGTCGAATCTTCACTGATGGCTCCTGTCTCTCCCTAAATGTGTTGTTGTTGACAACACCTGTTCTCGTTCTTTTATTGCCTCCACCGGTGTGCCTCAGGGTAGTATCTTAGGACCCTTGCTATTTGTTCTCTTTATTCACGATATTTCTGAATGTTTCTCCTCATCGAAGTTTCGTTTATATGCTGTCTACTTGAAAATTCTTAACACTACCTCGAGTTATTCTGATGCAATCAAGCTACAGTCTGATCTCAATAACGTGGCTGCATGGTGTAGCAAGAATCGTCTTCATTTAAATATTATTAAATGCTTTCACGAGTCTTTCACTAAATCGCGATCATTAATATATACCTCTTATTTTATTGGTAATGCACGCCTAATTACTCTTAGCGAAATTGCAGATCTTGGAGTTGTTTTTGACTCAAAATTTTTGTTTCACAGCCATTTAAATTACATTGTTGCCAAGTCTTATTCTATACTAGCCTTCATTCGACGGTTTGGGTCAGACTTTACTGACCCCTATACCTTAAAGTTACTATACACTTCGCTCGTTCGGTCTAAGCTGGAATATGCAGTCTTTATATGTAGACCGTACCACGATTGCCATATCAAGAGGCTTGAACGCGTTCAAAAGAATTTTGTTCGTTTTGCTCTTAGGTCTTTGAACTTCGAGTATCCGATGCCATCTTATACTGCTAGGTGCTAACTAATTAATTTAAAATGTTTGCATAGTAGAAGGATCATCCTTTCGCTCTCCTTTGTGTTTGACATAGTAAGTGGAGTGACTGACTCTCCTTTTCTTCTTGAGCGCATTTATTTTCATATTCCTCAAAGAAGCCTTCAGAGTAGTGATATTTTCTTTGTAGAACGGGTTAGAACCATGATAAAAACATAGCAAGGTATAACCGTTCTCTCAATTTGTCGGCCATGATTTTTTTTGAAGTTTGCCAACATTTTAAAATCATATAAAAGTGAAAATAAAAAATTGAAATTGTACGAAATTGTTGTTGCTTGAGATTGAAAATGAAAATGTGTGTGTGAGTTTGTGAGTAAATTTAAAAATTAAATTGTTTGGAAACGTCAAGAATTTTAAAAGTGACTCTCAGCGGTTCTACCTTACTATATTTTTATCATGGTTAGAACTACTTATGCATCCCATGCTCCTATTTTGAGAGCTTTGAAAGAATTTAATTCAATGTCAAATTCTTTGGCTATCGATTTTTCTTCCTTCAAGCTTAGCTTTAAATCATTGTTAAATGAATTATTTGCGTAACTCTTAGCTATAAGACACTCTGTAGTTAGTTCTAAGTACATAATATGTAAGAAATACTGACTATTTCTAGATTATTTTTTTATTTGAATAAATAAATAAATGAACTAGGAAAAAAATTAGGAAAAACTGACTCTGGGTCATGATCTGCCGTCTTATTCGAAGTTAATGGAGATACTACGTGGTGGAACATAAGTGGAGGAGAAGGAGTTTACGTGTCTGCAGTGACAACCAAGCCGCACTTAAGGCATTTGTTAGCCCTCTAACTACTTCCAAACTAGTTCGGCAATGCAAGCCTCGACTAAATTATGGTGGTAAACAAAACTAGCTTGCTTTACTCTGGGTGCTAGGTCACTCAGGAGTACCTGGTAATGAGACATCTGACCATTTGGTCAGAATTGGCTCAGACCAGGCATTATTCGGTCCGCAACCAGTTTTAGCACACCCGCTTTCGTTCATCGAAGCAACCATCACAAACTAGGTGAATACTTCGCTCAGCAATGGCTGGGAGGCATCGAGGGGATGCAGGTGATCAAAACTCATGTTGCCTTCAATCTCAGAAGTTCTATCTAGTTTAGTGCACTCATTGATAGACGGGACTGCATACAACTTGGTGGACTGCTGACTGTTCACTTCACGTGGCACAAACACCTGACTGCGATAGGCGCAAATGACAAGTCCATTTGCCCATCCTGCCTTGAAGACTTGAACACTTTTTGTGCTTCTTGCTTGCTTATTTTTTTGTCATCGAATTTTCTAGACTCGTTCTTTCCTATTGTCAGTGTCTGAATTAAAAGCTAACCTAATATTCGCGGCTAGCGTTTGGGTACGCACGCCATCGAATTTGTATTTTTGCGTCATCCGAAATTGGCTTGCGTGCGTTTGCATTTGATTTCATTGAGCGAAACGTCAAATCAAAATGTCACGCAGAACAAAAATTGGAAATTGAGTTAGCTTCATACGCTTGCCGTTCAATTTCGGTTGGTCCCATACAAGTTGTATGTGCATGAGAAATTTTTGACAGTAAATTGGCGGCGTGCGTGAATATTAGGTTAACCTGTTAAAAGTTTCGGGTAACAACCTTAGCCGTTTTGTTGTTTTAAGTTTTGTGTTTTAAAAATGTGAGTGATAAGTATTTATCGCCTCACATTAAAACTCGGAGCTATAAAAATAAAAATTCTGCCATCAACACAAATATATTATTTTGCAAATACTCCACCTACAAAGTCTTGAGTGAGCCTAAAATTTGATGAGCTTATGGTGAAGATAACGCTAGGGCTCGAAGTGCTCTTAAAAAATATAGCTCCCCAGAGAGAGAGAGTATTTTGATGGATTTACGAGCTCTATTTTTAAAACCTGCAAGTCTGTAATCACATTATTTTAATAAATAGAAATAAAAAAATTATAGAAAGAAAATATTTTAGTTTTATTTTGGTCACTCCGAGGTTAATTTTTGACTTCACCCGCGATGCAAATTTACATAGTTAGACCTAATCTTAACATTTAATTTTTTTACGAGCTTTGGGAATATTTAGAAATGTATCTGCAGGGGCTCCACCGAAACTAGTAAATTTTTGAAAGGGGTCTACGAGAAAAAAAGTTTGGGAACCTCTGCTCTACACTGTGGTATATTTATCTTCTTGATTAATGTATTTGATTTGAAGCAGGCACAGTTCTTGACGTTGAATTGGACAATATTTGATGGTTTCTAATGTATTTAAAAATTCAAAGAAATAATAATTAACAAATTTTATAATATTTTGACACTCTGAATGCCAATTCCTTTCTTCAGAAAAACTATTGGAATAAATATTTATTCATCTGCCGGAAAGTTATTCGTCGCTATTCCATAGTGAATAATTGACAAAAAAGTTATTCCGCCGTCGCTCAGAATTGCTTAGAGTAACAAAACCGTTGAATAAAAAGGAATAACGACAATCCAATAATATGGCCGTTAAAGTTATGTGTAATGAGTTTAAAATAAACAAATCAACTGTTATCAGAATTAGTCAAAATCAAAGCAAAATCAAAAAAAAAAATGTAGAAGCCGGTCTTTGGAAACGGCAAACTTTAAAACAGTGCGAGTACCCCAAATGAATTACCACAAATGTTTTGTTTTGAGAGAATGTTCCCATATCTGCCCAATTTGTAGAAGCTAAAGTCTGCTAGTTACATACAAATTACCAACTGAATCTTTTGCGAGACAAGACATACATACATTGCTGATAGGTCTGATCCATTCCTCGCTTGAGCAAATGCATTTGGAAGACACAATGTTCTTCTTATTCTTCTTGTTTGGCGCTATACCCGCCCAAGCAATTTTGGTCGAGTCCAAAGCAGCACGTTAGTCGATCATCTTCTGTGCCAACTGGCGCATTTTATCTACCTTCATTTGGTACTCAAAACTTCTTTGTATTGTATTTGGCCAAAATCGCATAGGTGGTTACAGCGCCAAATAAAAAGAAGATCAATAAAAATAATAAATTTCTGGGTTTTACTTTTTCTTTGGGTAATTCCATATATGTAATACTTCTATATTGGCAGTAAGCTAACTTCTCAATGTTTAAGCATTCCGAAATCAGAGCGAGACAGTCTAGTACTGTTTTTGTCAATGTATTGTGCACTTGAGTGCCGTTTTTATACCCGAGCGCACTTGTGCACAAGGGTATATTAATTTTGTTCACATAACGGTTGTTTGTAACAGCCAAAACGAATCGAGATAGATATAGACAAATGTATACATAAATGATCAGACATATATGTATATCGGTAACCGTTCTACCAATTTGTACCAAACTCGGTGTGGTTATTGTGCTTGCCACATGAAAGCAAAGAGTTGAAAATTATTGAAATCGGACTAAAATTACGGCTGCTTTTCATATAACGGTAAATTTCAGAAATGCTTGAAACTTGAATATTTCGAAATTGAAGGACGCTAATTTACTCAAAATTGATACACCCCGGCTTACCATCTAGCGGTAGGTTTCGGAAAGGTGAAAAAACATATATTTAATATTTGCGCCGGGTATTTAATGTTCGGCTCCGCCCGAACTTAGACTTTCTTACTTGTTGTAT